CATCCAGCCCCCGGGCCTTAGGTTGCCTGCCCCTGGACTAGATTACCCTTTTAGTCTTCCAACTCTATGAGTCTATGGTTCTATGAGTCCTGCTCCCCTCTTGTTTCAGATGTACAATGAACCCCCTCCCATCTGCGGGGATTCAGTTCTGGGAGTCTCCAGAGACAAAAAAAAATGTGGGCAGCTGTGCCCTATATTATTCAATGGTGGTGACTTGTGTGCAAATGCATCACTGCTGGCATTGAATAATGTAGGGTGTGGTGATACTCAGGCAGTCAAATCTGCAGAGTCCATCAATATGAAGGGTCCACTGCACATGGACCATATCAGCTACTGACCAACACATGTCACTTAAAAAAATATTTATATAATACTAAAGAAATAAGGGGGGGAACAGAACATTTTAAAAGTTGGAGAGAAAACGTGGGCCAGAATTACAAGCTGAAAACTACAACTGTGATGTATTAAGGATATACATTCATATGAGCATTCTATATATCATCAGAAATATCCAGGGGAAAAACTAGTGATAATCCATTCAAATAGTTATAGAGTAGAAAGATCTTTGGAGTATTTAGTGATAAATGATGGGTACATTTCTGTGGCACAGCATTAAACACACTGTAATGAAGAAACCCTGAAAAAACGCTGCCGCAACGACAGCTTTTTTCCACTTCCAAAAGGAGCTGCATTTTGCCGCATCTTTTGGGACCAGAAAAACGCCAGTTTGTAGCCATAGTGTGTGGTTGCTGCAGCCCAATCCGGCGAGCAAAGGGGCAGCGCAGAGCCACTCCTTCGGGGCAGTCTGCTTAACCCCTTAGTCTCTACAGGACTAACAAAAATACGATTTATATTGTATAGTAAATTGTAAATTGAACTACAAAAGAATTGTAATTAAAAATTGAATTGGAAAGGTATTCTTCACAGTAATACAATTTAAGGGAACACTAGCATCAAGTGCTATCTGATTTACCATGTTGGATTTACCATGTTGGAAGCCGCCCCGATTGCTATGCAGAGGGGCAGGGTACAAATAAATTTATTATTATTATTATTATTATTATTATTATTATTACCACCACCACCACCAAAGTTAATACACATAATTCTTCCTACCATGATATAAGGCACTGATGCCACTGGTGCATCCTGTTTCTTGAAAAGCTAACCAAACCCTGCAAGCTTTAAATATTTATATAGTGTAATATGTTTTGGTGTGGGGTTTTTTTGTTGTGTACCTAAATCTTTCCTGTTCAAGAGCCCCTGAAGCACACTTTTGGATGGTTGAGCAAATCAAGACTTTGATTTAAAAAAAATCCTTTGTGGGCTTTCCAGAAGATAACAATGTTTTATTGGCTAGCAAAGGATTTCCCATCTCCCTGCCATTTGAACAGATAATCCCATTTTGACATTTTGGTGATTTACATAGTCTGAACAGAAACAATTTCTCTCTTTCTCGTTATTTTGACTGTGAATAGTTGCTGTCCTGAGTTGAACACTCATGATTCACAAAACATACATTTTGAATAACATATTTCTCACGCAGCTTCCATTTCTATGATTTCTCTCCTGTTTGGACTCATGATTCACAAGGTGCACCTTCCGAGCAAAACATTTCCCACACTTTAGAGAAAGTCTTTTTGACAGCCTTTTCTGGCATTCGTTCAGTTTCATTCCTGTATGAACTTTCTGATGCTACCTAATTACTTATGATGACACGCAATGACTTAGGATCAAAGCATTTTTACTTTCCTGAGCTACCTAGCTGATTTTTCCTTGTGTGGATTTTATGGTGAATGGCAAGGAGTGAATTGTAAGCAAAACATTTCCCACACTTCTAGCATTTGAAGGGTTTATCTGCTGTGTGCATTTTCTTATGCTTAGCAAGGTGTGAACTGCTACTAAAACATTCCTCACACTCCTGGCATCTATATGATTTTTCTGCTGTGTGTAATCTCTGGTGACTCAGAAGATTTGACTTGTGGGGGAAACATTCCCCGCATTTCTTGCATTTGTATGGTTTCTCTACTGCATGGTGGATTTTTTGATGACTCACAAGGTATGACTTTTGAGGAAAAGCCTTTCCGCATTTCTTACATTGGAACTGTTTCTCTCTTGTATGGATTCTCTGATGTCCCCTAAGGGTTGACATATTAGCAAAACATTTCCCACATTCCAGGCATTTGTATGGTTTCTCCCCTGTGTGAACTC